GTTAGCAGAGCCTAGGTTGTGACACATATGTAAGTTAGTGCAAGCAGAAGGAGAGATGAATCGGAGAACATATGCCAACTTGAAAGACCACAAATATCCAGTGATTCTTCTGTCCACTGGCTCTGTGGGTTGTCTCAAGAAAAGCTCAGATTTTTAGGGTGCAATTTCTTCACATATAGCTGCAAACAACAAATTCAATCTTTGAAAAGACCCATGTTACCCCAGCAAAAAATGCCAAATTACCGATGACCCAAAGGAGACCTGTGAGAATGTTGGAGTCATATCCTCAATATACCCAAATTATGGACGTTTTTCTGTATCCCAGCTTTAGCATTTTAAAAACGCTTTTTTTTTTTTTTTTCTGATACCAGGAATCCAATTCAAGACCTTGCGCTTGCCAGGCAGGCGCTGTGCCACTGAGCTATACCCCTGGCCCTGAAAATAATACTTTTAAATGGAGTATTTGAATATTTAATTATTTTCATATTAGAGTAAGTCCCCAATTTACAAACATTCAAGTTGCACACTTTCACAGATCTCAGCAGAGCTCACATCACAAACATTCCTAGATATGAACAAATCGGGGGAGTAGCCAGTGTGTGCGGACATTGTCTCAGTTGTGCTCGCTGTACAGTGCGGTCGTGTTTAGTACAGGGCTCCGTCAGAGCCCAGGACCTCCAGAAGCAAAAGCCAAAGCAGTGGTGATGTGGAGGGGACTGCTAGGATGTGCAAAGCAATTTACTTTGCATATTTGCATCAAGGGTAAATAAGACTCACTGTCGGGCTTAACAGTAAATCACACAAACGTTCTCTGAGAACAGAACTTGTTCGTAAATCGGGGACTTACTGAATATGCAGTCTTCATTTTTACTGTAAGTGAGGCTTCCCAAAGGAAGCAATATTATGAACATGTATAGTACTAAAACTGTTATAAAAATACTAGAGCATTTTTATGTTAGCTTATTTTGATGTTCAATTTCCTTTGAGGCATCTAGTGAAGTTTTTTGGGGGCCGATATATACTATGAAAAAATACAGAGTATGTCCCTTCAGTGTTTAAGCTAAATGCCATCAAGGCATCTTCCACTTCGTATCTTATTATGCTTCAGGCCGTACAGATATCCTTGTATCATTCCTATCCTATAATTTCAGTAAATATAATGCTTCAGTAAATTACACAAAAAACTCACTATATATAGCACTCTACTGTATTATATAAGCTATTTTGTAAAAACAAAAATTTTGACACAAGGAGTGTACAGTTCTAAGCTATCATTAAGTACAAGGTAACCACCAGTGATAGAATTATATAGCAAGCTTCGTAGACCGAAACGTAATCTGCACTATCATTATGTAGATAGTTAAATGGAGAGAAGTCACTTTGGAGATCAAGAGGAAAGTCAATACTTATATAACTGTATGTTTGTATCAATAAAGTTTTATATAACTAAGACCATCAAGGGTGTTACTTCAACACCAGACTCTTCCTTCAATTTAATTCTGTAACGTTACCTCTTTTCCCCTTTGCTTCAACAACTGTATAAAAAGGTGACTTCCAAGTAAAGGATATTTCTCCAACTTGTTCCTTCTAACTCTGATTTTATCTTACTAAGTTTTGCAATGAAGTTTATCCACAATCAGATAGTTTGTTCACTGCCTCCAAGTCCTCTTAGTGTGGGAAATCTGTAGTGTGACTTACAGAACAGGAATCCAGCTGCAGACCAAAACCCTACGTGTGATCTTTCGGCCCCATCACAGGCAGTTTCCAGGGCCACCACACTGCCCTCCCCATCCCAGACTTGACCAGTGGCTTGGAGGAGTTGAGTCAGGCACTGCGATTCCGTGGTCAGCCTTGACCCTGTGCATATCTGCACTCGTGGCCTTTATTTGCAGTCCTCTCACTGGGGCCCTTGGCCAACACCTCTTGCGTGATTCTGCCCAGACTGCCTTGTTCTGGGGCCCTTGGGGATAGTTTTGTCCTCTAAAACTTGAGGATTTTTATGTTAGCTTATTTTGATGTCCTGAGGTTCTCAGTTGCTTAGTCTGATGGTTTTTCACTGAAATATTACATTTTTAGATATTTTAAATAGAATATTACATTCATTACGATCTGGAAGAAAGAATTATTTTAATCCTTTTCTACTTTTAGCCTTTCCCCCTTCTCCTGTCTCTGTCCCCTTGTCCCCCAAAACCCCTTTTGTTCTGGCCCCCTGGGCAGCAAAGAAGTGCCTCCCTCTGCACTGATCCTTCTGACCTTTGCCCGGTGCCCTTTCATGGGGAAGAAAGCAGCATTGATGGGACAGGCGACTTATTTCTGGTCTCCTGCTTATGCTATTGCAGGAAGCAAATAAAGGCTTAATTGAGATTCTTGACAACTCCCTCTTTCTGTCCCCAAAACACCTTACCATGCAGAACTCACTGCTGATAGGAAGAGCGTGATGACAGGGGTCTCACTGTTTTCAAAACTAGCCTTACTTCTTAGCTTCTGGAGATATAAGTCTCACACACGCATACACACACACATACACACACACACACACACACGATCGCCTTAATTCATATTTCTCTATTGTAATAAAAATACAACACTGTGGCCACTAATAATATTTAAAAGAATGTTTTGGGGATTAAACAAACTATCTAACGTTACCTTGTTTAAAAATTCTGCAGAGCTGCAACTTTATTGACAAGCATTTGATCCACCTACCGTGACTGTTCTCTTATTATTGTGCTTTCTCTCCCCATCTCATTATCCAGGCATCCTCTCCAAAACGAACCTTAGGATTTCCTCATTTTCTTCTCTAATTCTCTGCCTCCCAGGTGGTAATGAATGTAATATTCTTTTTAAAATATCTAAAAATGTAATATTTTAGTGAAAAACGATCAAAGTAAGCAACTGAGAACCTCAGGACCAGCATAAGAAAAATCTTCGGCTGTGTATTTTAATACTGTTAAGTTATTTTGAAAGTATCTTATCATTTTCACAAAGCACCCTTTCACGAGTAAATTTTCACATGCACTTTTCTCCTCCCCACATGCCTGTCCTTCTCCTCCTCAGTGTTTTTCTCTCTCTGTCATTCCTTTACAGCTGCGGCACGGAATGTTTGCTCATGAGCCACATGGGTCTCCGAGATGCCCAGCCTCTTTCTGGCGTAGTAATGATGCTCCATCTCCCTGTCTAAATATGCCTTCCATTTCTGTCACTCCTGTCACCTCGCCTGATTGCAGACTATCACTGGGACCGTTAATACCACCGCCTTCTAAAAATGGCCTCCCCAAGCCTGTCAGTGAGAGCAGCATTCCAAGACCTCATGTAACTCACAAGGCAGATAATCCTTTTTTATGAACTCCCCTCCCCCCTCTTTTTAAATTATCCCAGAATGTACTTTTCCAGGTAGTAATACAAAGCCGATGTGTGTTGACGAAGTGTGATGGGATCTGGAGTCTTTGTATGCATTTTTGTTTCCTTGATATCAGAGTTTCAAGTACAGAGTGGTGATTGTGTAGAAATCCAAACAAGATAAAACAGGACAAGTACTTCACAGGACCGCTCAGCTATGGCAGTTACAAAATGAGGCCTTTAGTGACACGGCTAAAAGCAATTTCAGTAGACTTCGGAGTTAAAAAGTAAAGTCCAGATTGATCTGTGTTAAGTGAATGAAACAAAGTTAGTACAGGAAGACTACTATTTCTTTCAGAGAGCTTAGTCTTGAAAGGATGAGAGGACAGAGGCTGGAGGAATAATAAGAAACAGAGAGAAAACATTATTTACAAGGTTTTGTTTTCAATGACAGATAAGATTCGAGTATTTTTACGTACTAAAGAGGAGGAAGATAGAACCAGAGAAGGTAGAGGACCGAAACCAGCAGGAAACAGTGTTCCTCAATAACAGCAAAGGGCAGAGAGTATGGTAGCCAAATGGTTAAAGAAAGTAAACAAATTGACAGACATTTCTCTGCTTGGAAAAATGCATAACAGTCATTTTTACTGAATAGCAAGTCCGCACTCTCAATTTAAACCTCCTGTTTTTTCTTACCTGCATCATCTGTGAGTCAGAAAAAATAAAAGTGTTCTTAGAACTCCTAACTTCAGGATGAACCCTTTCAGCAGCCTCTTTCCATGGTCTTATAGGAAGAGTAAAATTTCCTCTCTTCCTCCCCAAAGTGAGAATTCTCCTTTACTCCTGATCAAGTCAGATGGTTCTCACATTTTTCATGTGCTTTTTCCCATTTGGCAAAGTGAAAGGTGTCACTTTTACATCCTTCTTTCCATATGTTTATACAGTTTGTATTTGGGTTTCCCTATATTTATTCAGCACTGATCCACATTAGATAATTCAATAATTTTTGTGGTACCTTCATGATCATTTATTGTACAAGATACCTGTTATAGACTATGATTAAATTTTGCAGGAATGAAATATACTGCAATGAATAACAGTTGTTATTGTACTTATAAGTAGGAGTCAAAATATATTCTACTTTTAAAAATGTAAAAAATTGTTAATTGCATTTTAATGTTTATAGGAAGATAAGTCACTATGTTCAGTTATTTCTGTTTAAAACTTATAATTTTATGCAAAGTATATTACTGAAATCATGTTTCATATACATACAAATGTCAACTGAATATATTCATTCAGAACAGTAGTGTCACCATTTTTGCCATCATCTTTGCGAACATTTTTGTAGAAATTTTCTTTTTTTTTTTCTGGTACCAGAAATCGAACTCACAACCTTGCGCTTGCCAGGCAGGTGCTGTGCTGCTGAGCTGAGTCCTCAGCCCCCAAATTTTCTATTCCTTTTTTGCACAGGATAATCTGGCCTAATAATTGAACCATTTGAATTATTAACGTATAAACCTTGTTGATCTGCAAAATGGCAAGCTTATATGATTCGACTAGATTTGTTGTTGAAAAACGTATTACATGCATATGAAACACTTACTATGTTAATGTGTCCATGTGAACTTCTGCACTAATCCGTATTCTCTTCATTGCAGGCAGGCAGTGTGGCGCCAAAGTCACCCTCCACTGACATCTTTGATATGATTCCCTTCTCACCAGCTTCACACCAGGCTTCCGTACCCGCTCGCAATGGCACGCAGCCACCTCCAGTACCCAGTAGATCTACAGAAATCAGTAAGCTTTAGAAAGAAATCAGTATTCCTTGCTCTAATAGGGTACAATGTGAATGTTTAATACCTTCTGGGAACTTGCATTTCTTAACAAACTCACTAACAAGTTTAATAAGGTATTATGCTTTTATATATGAACCTAATACAGTTAATGCTCTTTAACTTTATATCTCAGAGAATACCATTAAAGACACCCCTATTTGCAATTGGAACCTATCATAAGAAAAAGGATTCTATGTGGTAGATATCCTTAAATAATAAAGTAGTTTAATCATGTATTTCATTTTCAACGATATTTCAATGCTTTACTTTGTTAGAAACGATTGTTAACAATTTCAGTCATTTAACAGAACATGGCTTAAACGTTGCTGTTGTCACAGACTATGTGGCATAAAGCTGAAAAGTATGTAAATTATATGAATGCCATGATTTGTTTGTGTATTTACCCCATATAAGGTCTTTTTTTTTCCTTTTGTATCTAAAATGCTATAAAGACATTACTTTCTGTTTTATCTACTACATGTCTGGAGGGAACAGCAAGGTAACTTTTTGATGGATTAGCATGCGTCCAAGAGATGTTCATTTTCAATGATTTGGTTGGATATTGACCTGTACCCTTTACAGAAACTGAAAGAATAGTTTCTTATGGCCATGACTCAGTCACTAATGCCAGGGAAACTGAAGAGATTTTGCAAGTTATGCTTCCCTGCATTTTCTCTGGTTCATACTAAGACATTCTAAATAAAACCTCAAGTTTTAGCTGAAAGCTTTAATACATGGCAGAGTCTATAGTTTGTTTCCCCCTGTGGAATCCAACAAAGTACATTGCTCATGTTGTATAATCAGTACAGTGGATTTAGTTACTGATATGCAAATACAAAATGATGACATCACTTTAAAAACTAGCATACAAAAACTACTATATTTTCTTCTTTATACCTGAGTAGTACTCCATTATATAAAAGTACCACTTTTTTTTTTTTATCCATTCCTCAGTTGATGGGCATTTGGATAGTTTCCAACATTTAGCTATTACAAGTAGGGAGAAACGATGCACATATATCACTGTCATATGATGTTTACAATTCTTCTGGAAGATACCAGAAGGGGAATAGCTGCATTGAATGGGACCTCTAATCCTAGGTGTTTAAGGAATTTCCATAGTGGTTGCACCAGTCTACACTCCCACCAACAGTGGAGAAAGGTTCCTTTATCCCCACAGCCCCTCCAGCATTTGTTATTGGTTGATATTTTGAAGATAGCCATTCTTTCTAGGGTGAGATGGAATCTTAGTGTTGTTTCAATTTGCATCTCTCAACTGATCAATGATGTTGAAAATGTTTCATGTTTATTTGCCATTTGTATTTCTTCATCTGAGAAATTTATGTTCATCTCAGATGCCTACTTTTGGATTGGGTCTTTAAATTTGGGGTGTTTGATTTTTTTTCAGTTCTTTATATGTTCTAGATAGAAGTCCTTTGCCTGAGGGACAACTGTCTATAATTTTTTCCCACTCTGTGGGTTGTCTTCACTCTCTTGATGATTTCTTTAGTTGTGCTAAAGCTTTTTAATAAGGTGCGGTCCTATTTTTTGATTCTTTGTAATATTTTCCTTACAGTCTGGGTTTTGTTCATGAACTCTCTGTCCACAGATACAGACTATGTCTTCGAGATTTCTACTTATATTCTCTTGCAGTAAATTTAGTGTGTCTATTTTAGTATTAGATGGATCTATTTTAATATTTAATGGATCTTTGATCCATTTTGACTTTAGTTTAGTGCATGGTGATAGACATGGGTCTAGTTTTAGCCTTTGGCATGTGGAAAGCCAGTTTTTCCAGCACCATTTATTAAAGAGGCTGTCTTTCTTCCAGTGAGCATGTTTGGCTCCTTTATCAAAGATAAGGTGGCTGAGTATGTTTGTGGTTGCATCTGCATCTTCTTTTCTATTCCCCTGATCCTCAGCAGACTTTTGTAGGTAAATGGATGTGACTCGAGATCGTACTAAGAAGTGAAATAAATCGGACCCATTTGTGTAAACTTGGTATTGTCTCACTAGTATGAGAAACAGAATGAGTAAATAAGATCCAAAATGTACAATAGATATTGTGAATAGGGAAAAATTTTTTCAAAAGTAAAGAAAAACTGTGATAGGAGAAAAGGAAAAGGAAGTAAAAAAGAAAAGAAAAAAAAGTATATATGTACACAACACAGTTAAGAGAGTCATACAGCTGGTTTCTCTTAGTTCATGCAAAAGAAAGGTTTGTGGTAATATTGTTTAGATGAGATATCATACTTGTACTCTGAATAACCACTGTGAAGACAATACCCAATGTATTCATTATTGTACCTCTCCTATCAACTTGTTTTGAAACTGTTTTGTTGTTATTTTTATTCTTTTCTCTACAAAATAAAAAACTACTGTAGTTCAAGACATCAAGTCAATGGAAATTGGATGGGCAAGGATTTTTTAATAAAGCCCCCAAATCATAGGAAATAAAAGCAAAACTAGACTCATGGATTTCCATCAAACTAAACAGCCTCTGCACAGAAGAGGAAACCATCAACAGCATGAAATGATGATCTGCAGAATGGAAGAAAATACTTGCAAAAGTTTTTATCTGACAAGGGATTAATATAGAACATATATCAAAAACTCAAGCAATGCAACAGCAGAAAACAAAGTAACAAGTCAACTATAGACCTGAACAGGCATTGTTTACAAAATGATAACCAAGTGGCCTGTAGTATATAAAAAATACTCAACATCTCCAATTATTGGGAAATTAATATCAAAACCACAAGGAGCTATCGCCTCACTCCACTGAGAATGGCTATTACAAAAAGACAAAGGTGACAAGTGCAGGAAAGGGCACAGATAAAAGGAATCTTTATATACTATTGCAAGGGTTAATTACTACAAATGGGAAACAGTGTGGACATTCCTCACAAACTCAAAGATAGAACTAGCTCATATATGTTCCAGCTATCCCACTAGCTGGTATTTGTTCAAAGGAAACAAAATGAGTGTGTTGAAGAGACATCTGCACACCCTTGTTTAGTGCAAGAATATTTACAATATTCAAAAAATAGAAGTAACCTAGATGTCTTTCAGATGATGAGTAGACAGAGAAGATATACTAGGTATTCAAAATGGAATACTATGCAATAATAAAAGGAATGAAGTTCCAATTTTAATCCAGCTTGAAATATATATTGAGAAGAGTGAATAGATTTGAAGATATTGAGAAGAAATAATCTTTTAGGATGCTGATTAAAAGTATAGTGCAGGATTTTTATCCAGATGTTAACAGGAAAAAAGCAGTATAGAAGGAAAACACTGGAGTTTTGCTTTATGTTATTAAATTTGAAATACGCTTGGAAAATCTGGACAAAGATGGTCAAGTTTCTCTGTTCTCTTAAATTTGATATGTTGCAGAACCACATAAGATTATAGAAAGCAGGTACTAACAGCAATAATAATCTGCATCAGTGATATATCAGGTCATGAACTCTCATTTGTTCAGAGAAGTTCTGGCTTACAGCTTTTGTCTCACTGCAACTAATAGCAGTGCTTCTTTCGTTTTTAAAAATAACTTTAATTGATCCTGTGTTACATAGCCCACCTCATTTTACACTTACCAGTGCCAGAAACTTCCAAACAGTTTCCCATTTATAAACTTCATTCAAGAAATTGAAAAAAAAAATTGATAGCTGGAAAAAGAAGAATCCTTCATGAGTCACAAAATGATTTTTGAGAATATGGTAGAAATCTAATAGAATAATAGATTTGTTCTTATATATCATCATATATAATTGAATTTAGAATGTATATCACCTTCTGAAAGCTCGCAGCACATAAGCCTTTGGGGGGTCAGTCTAGATCCAAGACATAACAGCTTTTTTGATACTGAATCCCTCTTATTTTTTTAAAAAATGAATTTATTTCTTACACAGAAGCACTTTAATTTTTAAAATGTCTCACTGTGGTTATCTATGAAGATGATAGGATTTTATACTACATGAGATAATGTGCCTTAAGTTTTCTCTGGGTAGGAAGTAAGCTAAAACCACGTGATCTCCGGGTAAAACTACCTGGAATTTACTCAGTTCTATTACTGTTTTTACTACAGTGTTGCAAAGCATGAACATGTGGAATAAGAGAAGTTTCAATGAGTATTTTATAAATGTTAGTAAATTTAAAATGGTGTAAAGATGTAGGTATTGTAAAACATTTAATAGTAAATATTTGGTGACATATTAAATCATCACTGGAAATGGAAAACCTCTCTGGAGAATAATTCTTTGTAACTAAGCAGCATTTAATATCACAAAGTGGATCTTTGCTCCCTTAGTTTCTCTAAACTCTGGAAAGCCCAACATAAAGTATAAATGCACATAGTGGCTCATTGGATCATATAAATATGTTTACTTACATTTTCTGCCTAACACATCAGAACTCAGTCCTTGTCATTTCATTTACTACGATTGTTTTCTTCCTTTTAGAACGGGACCTGTTTGGAGCTGAACCTTTTGACCCTTTTAACTGTGGAGCAGGAGATTTCCCTCCAGACATTCAATCAAAATTAGATGAAATGCAGGTGACTATTTTAACAGACTGGACAATAAGTGGTTTATTACCTTTTAATCTGGGATAAAGAAAATGTTATATACCCAAACTATCCTTACCCTAATTTGTTGTTCCTATAAAAACAAATTAATTACTTTAAAAATAATAGTACTTAGTCCTAAAAATACTTCTACACATGCTAAGGATTAAGTTGTTGGTTTTCTTAATAATTTAATGTACAATGGAAAGAAGATGGTTCATTTTTTTATACAAAATGACATAGATTTTAATGTTGTTTTGAAATCCAGAAATCAAAAGATGAGTGCATTTGATTTATAAGGTTTGATCTGAGTCTTCAGTTATGAATTTTAAAACTGTGAATGGGAGATGGGGGAAAATCTTTCTCAGGGCAAAATGATTCCGTCTGAAAAGAAACATTGCAGCTGTGGTTCACCATTTCTGGGCTCTTACTGAAAAAGCAGACACCAGTGACAACTCCTTTAGGAATGCATGCCACTTGAGTTTTCTTGTCTGTCTCTCATTTTTCAATTATAAGTTTCTCTGGATGTTTGAAGAAATTGATTATAAAGGTTGTGTGTAGTGAGCCATAATTAAATCGTCTTACCAAGGTTAAAGGCTGGTATTCATATTAACCCTCTACATTTTGATGAAACTTTTGTGTCCTATTTTTCATCAAAAAGTTTACATGTGGTAGAATCCAGACAGACACCAATTATGTGAAGCTGCTTGGGAAGACATTGCAAAGACACTGACGTAAGGTGAAGGAAGGATTTCTGTTTATTAGTCCTGGGCTCATACCTTCATTCTCCATGTTTTAGTTTTCTCCCCTACCTGCCCGCCTCAAAAACAAAACAAACAAGCAAACAAATAACTCATGGGCAGACTCTAATCTCACAGGAGTGAATGCATTCTTTCCCTGGAGAGATAATAGACATACCCCTCTGTTCATGTGGGAATGCGCCTCTGTTCTGTTTTCTAAGTATTATGTGAAAGCTTTTAGTGTTCTAGACTTAATAAGATGCTGGCATTTTAATACTTGAAATACTTAATATACTTTGGTTTTTTCAAAGAATGTGTTAGGACAATGTTCTCACGTTAGATGATTTCTAATTCCCCTTTACATAAAAATATTTTAGATGCCTAAATTGAAATTGTTCTAAAACGTTCTAAATATTTGCCACAAAAGTTATAGACAACTTTTCTTCAGAGTTCTTATACAAATGTGAAATAAAAAGTATACATCAAATAAAAGCAACATTACCACCCAGTAAAATTCCTATTAAGACGTTTAATGTCATGGGATGAATGACCGTATTTGTCTGAAATCATATCAGATTTGTTTATATCAAACTGGATCCTGTCTGATGGCACAAATTTTACATTCTTCAAATACTGGGAGACTTTCACTGAAATAACATGATTAATTAATGAGAATACCATATTCCACATGAAGTGTGTTCCTATCTTTTTGCATTCTTTTGGCAATTAAGCTGATACTACCTGAGACTAATGCGTTTGTAGAAATAAACACCAATGTGAGCCTGTGAGGCAGCCCTGGTTCTTAAGGCTGATACACATCACAAGTACTACTTTCTGATAAAGTTTTTTTGTTTCTGTTTTTTAGTATTACCACAAAGTTAAAAAGCTCTCTAATGTTGTTAAAATAGAGTCTGACTCCAGCTCCGGGTTTTGGGGGTAACCAAGTTTGGGAAACATTACATGCAGATGACTTGGTGATGTGTTAGCTAAACAGTGTTATCTGTGGTGGTCGGTTGTCTTTGCTGCTCCTAATATTTTCTTAATATCTTCTTTTTATTCTTTTCTGCTTTCACGTTGGGTAGCGTCAGAGATGGTTGGTATATTATTTTCATAATAATTTTAAACAACTTAACCATTTGAAAGCTAAAACTTTAGTGCTTGCATGATTTATTTAAGAAATAAATAGCAGTTTCATATGGGTGTGTCTGAGTATTAATTATGTTCAAAGAGGTTTCATAACTTACATTTTAAGGTTATTTTGGATAATTTAGTCACTGTTGAATTGTTTGCCTTATTGCGCATTTCTTTTAGTCTATAATTAACTTGCAAGTCCACTTTAACTAAAGTAAAATAATATTTTCTTGACCTAAAGTGTATGATCAGTTTTGTTATTAATCCTGCTATGCCAATTAATCTAAGCACACATTTAGCACTGTTCTTTAAACGACATAAGAAAACCTAATAGAGTGTAATAAGTTCTGAATACCATATTGAACTAATAAGCTTAGTGAAGTATTTAGTCATCTTCCATTTACAGAAGATTGTGATTAAGCTATTTTTAAAGTAACTGAATGGTTTGAAATCACAAAAATATCTAGTGGATGCAAGAATTTAAGTAGAAATGTCACATTTCATCTTACTAGTTAGAACATTAGATGTTTATTTGAAATCAGTCTGACAATTTGAACTGCGTGGCATTTTTGACTTGGGTATAGCAATAGTATAGTACTTACAGCGATAGGATATACTGACACAGAAATAGAATAGTACTAATAGTGTATTTCATGAACTGTAGTAATTTAGTACATTAAAAAGAAGAATGGCAAGTTAGTGAAAGATGAAAAAATTATGCACACGTGGTCCTTTGTCAAAGAGTTGTTAATTTTGGAGGACAGACAATGTACAGCTGAAACTTACAGCAACAACCAAATTTCAAAAGTATTAATCCTTTAACTATATTAGGAAATAATAGAATGTTCAACAGACTCTTGAATTGGAGATAAAATTTTATAAGTAAAACATGTAGACAGTTTTATTTTATAAAGGTGTTAAACATTTTCATTTTAGAATATATAAATACATTATGCATGCCTATTAAGACAACTAGACAAATAATTAAGGCACTAAACAATCAGAAAATTGACCAGGAATCAGTAGTTCACAAAAGACCAAATATGGCCAATATATATGTAAACATGCTCCATCTAATCAAGGGAAACAAATAAAGAACTGTAAATGCCTGTTTGCTATAGCAATTTCACAATTTCATTTTGTTGCTACTAATCAGTAGAAGTGAAAATGTAATAAAATATGCATTCTAAATCATTGTTCGGCCAGGGTTAGTTCATAGTATCCCCATGGGAAATAACTTTTATTAATATTGTGTTTCTACTTGCTATTAAAATCTGTAAAACAATATATTCTGAGGAGAAAATAATTATAAATGTATTAAGCCTTTATATATGCAAATATCCTATTAACCTCTTCCATAATTGTAAAGTACAAGAAATAAATGAATTAGTATAAAAATTAATAGTATATAATGATAAATTCATTTTCCAGTAACTTTAATACAGACTTTGAATTTTGTTAAGATGAAAATAGGAAAATAGAAAATTTTAATATATATGTAATACATTACAAAATTAAGAAAGCTGTTATAATTTAAATAACTTTTATAAACCCACAGAAGAAATTGAGACTCAAATGACATAACTCAGCAGGTAGCATGTGTTGTATATTCTTAATTACTTTTTCATTGCTAGAACAAAATATCTGACACTCACAAGTTAAAACAGGAAAGGTTCATTTTGAGTCACAGTCTGTAGAGGTTTCAGGATGTAGGCAGCTGGCTCCAAGCCAGATTGGCATGCTGAAGGGACATCACAGAGGAGAAACAGTCCATGGCAGGGCAGGCAAAAAGCAGCAGTAGCGAACCTTCCTTTCCCTTGTATCCCATCTAGGCTATAAGCTTTCGGGTTGGTGCCACCCACACCTTGGGTGTACCTCCCGTTATCCATACCCATAGCTATGCTAAACCAATCAGTGGACTAATTTGCTTATCATACCCTTAATTCACACACCCTAGATCAGCCACCTCTGAGAAGCCCCACCTCTGAGCAGATGAGGCTCTGGGGTTGCATCTAGATTCAAGCCACAGCACATATAATTTTTTTCCTACTTTCATATACTTTTCCCTATTTCCAAACAGGAAAGCAAGCCAAAATAAACCTTTCCTCAATATGAGCAAAATGTTTCATAGGAAAAGCTATGATTAATCAATTATAAAATAATTGTTTTTGTGATACGTATTAGCCTTTGATATTTCTAGTTCCTAAATGAAATAAATAAGACTCATATTTATTCAGATGTTTAAACTCCAAGGGAATATGGAACCCTTAAAAGATTTAGATTTCATTAAATCATGATTTACAAAATGATACTTCTGTAAGAAAGTCACAAAGTGTGTGGGAATTTTATTTTAGGAGGAAAGAAAAAACAAGGAATCTTACAGTAATATATCAGTCAACTGACATGATTAGATTAACTTCAGGGCAAAATATCCTTTAAAAAATCAGCATAGTCATATCGTAAGTCATTGACATTCACATGCTTTTATTATTGAAATAGCCACAAAAGATTTATTTTACTTTGCTTGCTTTTTTGCCTTGCCGATACTGATAACATATTGATAAACAGCATTTTCAAGCTAAGTAAAATAATACTGGTTTAATATCAGAATGAATGGAATGAACCAATACAATTTAAAAATATTGAGTGTTTTGAAACCATTTTTAAGGTAATTATTATTTTCTTTAGCTATAACATCTATCATTTCTCTATCATTTATAATACGTAAGAAAATGACATAGTACACAGCTCCTCAGATATCTAAATAAAATATGTAAAGGAATAGTTCATTTATAATATTTTTAATTTGCAGTATTCACTTTTAAAAGTGTTTGGTGGCTTTTGGAAAGATGCACATAAGTGAGGCAAAATATTTATTTCTGTGCTAACAGCACATTTTACAAAATAATGGTAAGCCTTCTGAACTTTACCACTTGAGTATAATTAATATGCCAGGTACGGGGCAGAGGTTAGAAAATTTTCATAGTGAGGACATTGTTACGTAATCTTGGTGCAATAAGTATAATGAATAATATTCTCTGAACATTCATTGTGAGTAAAGTGTGGCTTACAGTTTTATAAGTACGTCTTCCTCTGTATGCGAGTGTTTACTTGGATTTTGTACAAATAGAAGTACATTTAAATACTTACTAAATGGAAGTAACGAGGGTATCGTGACACTTCTACAAGGCAGCCCATAATGTGACCCCCCAGTTCCACTGATCAATTCAAGTCAGTGCTTTTCACCTCAGTAGCCCAGCATGCAGAGGTTTAAGGCCCAGGGTGGGGATGGACTGTGATGGTGAGACCAGACCTGGCCTGAAGTTCAGTTGTCTTAACCCAAGTACATAAGAGCTTGGAGCGGAAGACACAGTCCTTTGCTACCACCTTTTAACTCAGAATCTTAGGGGTGAAAAGAAGCACAAAATTCACTGCAGTTACATGTGTGCTTGATAAATCAATGCCCACTTAATTTCTAAAACGTGTTCTGGGGGCCAGTGTACCAGAAAGCGGTAGAAGGATGGTACGGGAAGCTTAGGTTATGGGATCACATTAACGACAGTTATTTTATGCAGCGTCTGGGCAGTGTTAAGCAGGAAGAGATGAAATTTAACAAGCTGATAGCTATCTTAGTCATATTGAAATTAATAGTGATCTTCAAAGCCAGCAGAGGGATTTAATCCACAATAGAATAACGTATTAAGTACGTTCTTTGGTAAAAAAGAGATTTAAAACTTAAGCCTTAAAATTATTTAATTTTATATACTGCTTTTTTCTTCTGATTCTCATGCACACTAACCTAACATACACTTAAAACATTAAAATGCTAGTTGAGTATAAACAGTTCCTCTTGAGATGCATCTATATAAAAGTTTGAGAAGCCAACGGTTGTTAGGTAATTGGTAATTACTTCTTAATTTATAAAAGCATGGAGATTTGAAGTTCTATTCATTATTACTTTCCTTACTGATTTTATTTTATTTTATTTTGTCATACTAGGTCGTATCTTAATCATTTCCATTGTGTTTTACAGGAGGGGTTCAAAATGGGACTAACCCTTGAAGGCACAGTATTTCACCTGGACCCATTAGACAGCAGGTGCTGATGTCAAGAAGGAGAGATGCTGCCTCCTGTTACATTTGTTTATATCCGTGTGTATCATGCGTTATTACATTGAGACAGGTGTATAAATGTGCCAATATATTTTTTGAACGTCTTCATGTTTTGAAAACTACTGCAGTAAAATTTCTTCACATGTAGTGTTGATCTCCAACTTTAATTTTGCAGGCAACTTAGTGCAGTGTATAGCTTACTTTTGTGTTCCTTTTTGTCTCTGTTGTCAGCGGATTTGTAATTTAGACATAAATCATCCCCATAATCTGCTTTGTCTGTGGTCTAACTAATTAGCATCTTGAAATTTGAGTTCGTTCTTCGGGCTGCTAGTTTATTTCTGATGTCCCAAAAGCCATACCTGAATTGACAATTTTTAAAACTCTGAAGATATACCAATGCCAAACTAAATATGTTCAATTTTTAAACTAAGAAAAATGTTATCGTCTACTAGATAGATCTCATTTTACGTGTCAAGTGCCGTTCGCCTCCTTGGTAAAATGTTACCTTTGAATTCCGTGCCACCCCTTCACTAATTTTTAGCTGATAAAATAAAGGCATAAATTGCAATAATAATTAAATCAAATGTATTTAGAATATAAGCAAATACAAGGTAATGATATTATGTGATTAAATGTCTGAAATGTTTATTTTATAAATAATGATTGTGGAAAACAATAAAAACATTTACTGTTAGCAAAGTTCTTAAAGATCTCATTTCTAATGTGTTACCACATTACCGTAAAATTGAAACATCATCTGATCTATCTTTCCTTTAAATGTATTTGAAATGTATGCTGTGTATAGGTGTAATGCCTACTGTACACACTTACTTAACCAAATATATTTTTCTTCTCTATGGACTATTTTCATGTATTCTTCTGCAATAATGATATTTTTCCTCAGCGGAGTTTATTTTCTGATGCCCCACTGGTTTTGGTACTTTAAAATGTATGACAGTAAAGTATCAAAACATTTAGCAGCGTGATTTATTTGTTTTGCTGACGTCGGATCCCTTTTTTCACAAAACTCTAGTTTCTGTGCAGCTTCATTGTAAATGTGAGCAATGAAATTCTCTGGAAGCTCATTCTTGATGTGCTGCTGGAAGCCGTCCATTAAAAATATTTGTTGTCGGGGCTGGGGATTTAGCTCAGCTGCAAAGCGCCTGCCTGGCAAGCGCAAGGTCGTGAGTTCGGTTCCCGGTACCGGAGAAAAACAAAAAAAAAAAAAAACAACAACAACAAAAAAAAATATTTGTTGTCTATATCTTTGCCCATTGCAGAACAGGCTAACAGTAACCTTGCAACAAAATTTTTTGGTCAGAATTTCTAATGTGATTTATCAGTTTTAAAGAAAAGCAAATTATGAAAACATGGGCTTAGTTTGGATGTAACCATCAAAAATAAATGAATAACTAGATCATTTTACATATGAGAGTTTTCTTCAAGCACTACAGGTACATTTTCACGAGGAAAAAAATTCAAATATGCTTATGCAATATTATATTTGTGTGTATCTCCATAATGTTCTATGGTATATGCAAGCCTTCTGTTTGTGTCGTTATAAGTTGTACCTTAGAGGGTAGTGTATGTTTCATCAGGAAGAGTCTTTATAATTTTGTTTGTCATATAGTATTTTGGAATTTATATAATGAGAATGTTTCAAAGCCATATATATGGCTTATTTTTAACAGATAGAATTTGTATTTTTATTGTACTTTTAAAAGCTTTATGTAATAGGTATATATTTAGTGGCCATTTAGTATCAATGGTAACACAATAGAGTATTAAGATGATATTTGCATATTTAAGATGTGTTACTTTACCAGTTTTTAATGGTAATCAGTTCTGCGACTGGCATGATTGAATAGTACGTAATCGGTCATCAATTATGAACATTTATTTCACCAGTGCATTTTTATGATGATCTGGTTGAAAACTGTATTTCTATGTAAACTCAATGATATGTTTGATTTTGCTGAGAATAAATGATTTTAAATAAATTAAATTGCATGACTTCCTCATTAAATAGCCTCTGATGTTATGTACATGATAGGTTTTCTTGATCATAAATTGGAGGAAAAGAGAGAGAGCACTTTACTTTTCATTCCTTGCGGCCCACACACATTTTCACCACATGGGCAAATATCATTCAGTTGTGAAAACATAGATGCGACCCTGCTGATGAGAAAGGTCATCATTTAGTTCCTGTCGCCAGAAGCATGTGGTGTAACAATTGCTTTATGTAAATATCTCTTTGCAAAATTGCAGGCTTTTTTAGCCAAGTAAAAATGCAAAGGGCACCCGGGCTGATAATTTTTTAAAAGTGGCCTTTGGAATGGGACTTGGGTCGTGGCTAGCTGCATAATGATGAAAAGATTTGCCCTTCCCCGAAGTGTGGTGTCATACATTTCAGAGACACTCAGTTCTCATAGGTAGTCTTTACCCACTGAACCATTCGTCAGTTCACTCAGTAAAATCCATTTGTTACTTATGTTAGGTGAATGGCATGTATTATTCTTAGCATATAAGAAAACATCCAATGAGTTTGCTTACTGTAGCTGTTAAATTAACAAGTTTATTGTCATTAAAGGAAAAGTAAAAGAAGTATATGAGTTCATAATTGAAAACCACGGGGTGTTAGAATGCCCCTTGAACTGAGACTTTCCCTGGGAACATTTGTATTTAATTATGTTTGAAGTAGGGTCCTTTGAACTGCATGGTATCTACCGTGTCAGGTATCCAATGGACCACTCATCAGGACAGTAAAATGGCAATACTTTTCTTCATTTCTTCTTGTTTCTTATATTTGGGATTTTTTTTCCAAAAATATATAAAGGAATCCATTTTGAGCTAGAATTTCTGGTAGGTTTTCCTTTTGAAATGCTGATATTATTTACTCTTTTTGATGTTACCATAACCATGAAAAAAGCTGGCTGCTAATAATTTCTACTCCAGGATTTCCATCTTTATTTCTAAATTCAGTATTTACTTATGATTTTGGATTGTAACCTCTGTTAAATCACTAGGAGAATCTTGGACTTAATTTTGACAACTAAATCTCAGACTCCACATAAACTCTATCTTATGTAGGCAGCACCTGTGTAAGTGTGAATGGTTTCTCCTTGGGCCCCTGTGTCTCAAGAGGAAGTGTCATCTGCTTCCGAGATAACTTCTGGCAAATCTTTCAGTAACCTGTCTCTCCAATGCCTTCCCTGAAAAGTGGGCACAAACTTTAACTCCAGTACCCATCTACCATGTTGCTACCAAAGGTCCACATTAACCCACTGTTGAAATTCCCTCATATAAATGCATAATTTTTCTGGAATTTGTCCAAAATGGCTTTCCGTACTCTAGCACAGACACCAACTCCTAAGATCTCTTGTGGTATTGTATTTCTTTGTTTTCAAGTGAATTATTTGAAATATGGATATTATTTAAATAGCAGACTGCACTGTCTCTTTCTAGGTTCACATTTCCCACTCACCTTCATAGACTCTAAGCAGCACTTTTTCCAAAATTGTAGTGCAGTAATATACAAAAAAAAAAAAAAAAGAAAAGAAAAAGATGAAATATCCAAGAAGGAATTGAGCTTGAAGGCTCACTTTTATTTTTCTGACAATACAAGATAAATTAAGTGCCCAAATTTCTTACTTACTCGTTTTAAATCAGTCATTATTACCACGTGTCCACAACTCTGCAACAGAAATTTGCAATAGCCTTTTTTTAATCTTAGCTACATTTTTTGCCATTCACTCAGATGCACATTCAAATTTTACTGAAGGGGCTGGGGATATAGCTCAGTGGCATAAGTGCCTGCTGGCAAGCTCAAGGTCTGAGTTCAATCCCCAGTACTGCAAAAAAAAACAAGAACAAAAACAAATTTTACTGAACCTAACTCTTCTACATTGCAAGCAGCTCTTAGTCACTTTAGAACATGTGTTAAGACTTTGAAATATTGCTGTCTAAGTCTCTATTAGAAACTTTCTGAAATCCCACTACAGTTTCTTAGTACCTTGGACTTAACCAACTTGTCTTTATTAATGTGTTTGCAAAAAATCAATAAATATTATCTTGGAAACATCTTTTATTTTAATCGAATTTTTTAAAAAAAAACTTTGCTATTCCTTTTTCAACCATCTTGAAGGAAGGGTTGCCTGACAGTGTTGTACTCTCTTTGAAGTCAAATACAACCCTTTATTTTTAAGCATTCAGATAAAATGTTGAATAATCCTTTTGACAAGCTTCTTTTTTGTTGTTGTTTCTTGTTTTTTGTTTTTTTCCAGTACCAGGAATCAAACTGACGACCTTGCACTTGCCAGGCAGGCACTGTGCCACTGAGCTAAATCCCCAGCCTTTAGCAAGCTTCTTGGTAGCTATGTACACTCACATTTCTTAAACTCTGTTGGAAAGAAAAAGCACACTTTCTAAAATATTTGGAGAGCATATCCATTTTCTCCTCAGTGAATTCTTTAGAATTATTATACCTTACACTATAATAATTTACCAAATAAAGCCCTTGATAATTAATCTAAAAGCTATAACAACCACCATAGAATCATAGGCTAAAGTAATCTGACCCAATTGCGGGAGGAAACAGAAGAATGCTATGAAACCTCAGAGGGCTATGAAGATTCTAAGATAAATGTTATATTATTAAGGAACATTCCCTGCACTCAAAAGGGTGGAGAACTACATTTGCTGAGCTTGTTTGTGTATTAAAGAATGATAGTTAATAACTGAAACTGTGACTTTGATTTTAATAATATGGGCACATAGCTTTCATTGGTTTTGGAAAAAAACTTTTAACTTCATTTATCTTTTTATTGTCCTGTCCAAATGAGAACTCACAAGAACATGCCGGGGTCCTTCCCAGCCGACTTGTTCCTCCCCTCTGTCTCGCCAGGCTGCTGTGTTCTGGTCTGTTCCAAAGGTCACTTGTTCCAGTTGAAATAGCTGTCTGGACGGCCTGGAAACAATCCAGATTCTGGTTCTTTCCTGCAAAGAAAGCAAAGATAGATGTTTGCTTCTTGGCTACATTTTGAAAGGAAAAATATTAAAGAATTTTCTGGCTGAATTTACTAACTCTTATAAAATTTCATATACTGCTAGACTCCATTTAAAAATTAGTATTTCCCAACGCTTCGTGCTTATTTTACCTTTTATATACTCTTAAAAATCGCATGCTTACCTTTAGTATCATTAAATAATTTAATAACATTGTATATCAGAAGAGAAGAAAGAGAAATTCTGAAAAAGATTCAAGAAATTCTAATGTCACTTGCTCACTTGTCGACTCACAAAATACTCTGTTTAGCTAGTCCATTCTTCATTTATCTATTTTTGTAGCTGCTTATTTAAAGATAAATTAACTTGAGTTGTGCTAGAATGGGTGGAGACAGGTAGTGAGGGGATCGTCATACTCTTCAGAGACTTCAACTCGCTGATTCTTGACCAGGTGTCCACAGATGTTTGTTCATTTCCCATGCAACTTGGACCATTTGTGGACCACAGAGTAATAAGAATGATGCAGTTGTACAGAAGACGTTTTCTGCAGTGATTCCTCTGATGATGGCGTTAGCTTAGTTATTCTCTACATAAAAGTAAATAAAAAAGAAAGTACCTGAAAATAAATTGGCCTCTGTTTCATGACTTTTTGCCACCAAAAACAATTAGAAAAACAAATATTACTGGTATTTTAAACAACTGCCTTGAGTTTTTAAATTTGTAAGTTCACTTGAATTTTTAAGCAGTTTTTTTTTTTAAATACTTTTACCTCAGATTAACTTAGTCTGATTGATAGTAAACCCTTGGACTAGCATTTAAAGGCTATGGTATGATATTTTGATTGTGCTTATCGTTTTAGCTTGACCTTCAACTTTGGGAAAGTGATGCAAAGTGATGTCTCCTGAAGTTCATAAATATTACCTATGCTTGGCATAAAAAAGAAGAAAATCCCGCAAAATACTAAGATTAAGAC